AAGTACTGCGCTTTGATTTGCCAGTCTGACTCTGACTGCGGTGCCTCGACTGCACTGAGAGTCATGATCACGGGAGTTTGGTTGTTCCCAAAAGACTTGGTTGAAGGGCTCTTACTAAAGGCACTTGGCCTGACATATCTACGACTTCATTTGCCAGAGTCTAGCTCAGGCTTTAAGCACTTGTAAAAATATTGCAAAGGCTTTAGCGCTTGTTAGAGTTTTGCTCAGGCTTTAGCACTTGTAAGAATCTTTTGCACAGGCTTTATGCACAGGCTTTAGCACCTGTGAGAATGTTGCACTAGCACCTGCAAGAGACTTGATCAAGTTTTAGCATTTGCAAGAGACTTGACCAAGTTTTAGCACTTCCAAAAATAGCTTTTGTTCTTGACTTTTCAACCTTTCAATTATCGTTAAAGCCGGGGCGGACCGAGCGAGAGATCGCGAGAAGCAACCCTCTCGCAGGATCCTGCCTGTCGAGTGGTCAAACGTGTAGCAAAGCGCGAATTTTCTTGGGTGGTGGCGAACCCTCCTGCGAGCGTGTCGAGCGCCCAAACATGCAGCAAAGCGCGAAGTTTGCCCATGCTTGCGCGACCTTCTCGCAGGATCTGGTGTGTCGAGTGTCCAAAGGTGTAGCGATGTGCAGTTTTGGTCGGTTCTGGAGGGTTCTGGGGTGAACCCTCTCACAGGGTCGTGTGTGTCGTGCTCGAACGTATGGTGAAATGTGAATTTTGCCGGTGCTCGCGTGACCTTCTCGCAGGATCCAGCGCGTCCAGTGTATGTGTAGGGAAGTGCAAATTTTGACCACGCTTGCGCGACCCTCTCGCAGGATCCGGCGCCGAGTGCCCAAACGTGTAGGGAAGTGCGAATTTTGCCGGCGCTGGCGGAGCCCTCTCTCAGGATCCTGAGGTGACATGCGAATTTTTGTGCGCACTGGGCTGCTTGGCGATGTCACACTTGGCGATGTCACAAAGGAAAAAACAATATTTCTGTGCACGCGTTGCTTGAAGCTTTCGGGCCATCAGGGCTCCAGTTTGTTGTTTGGTCTTCTGCGCCGCCCAGCAAAGCACAAATCAGCGTCACACTGCAAGATGGGTCTTGGACATTTATTCAGCAAGTTGGTATCTAGTCTGACATGTGGTGAGGCACTGGGTCCTGCCAGAAGATCATGGGCGTTGGTTTGTGCACTTACAGCGCCACCAACAAGATGGCCCTGGAAGCCTCGATGACTCAGGCTGGCCGGGGCTTTGCGCGTCTTGCATGTTAGCAGTTGGCTGAAAACTTTCATTTGCAACTTGCTAAGCAGCTTGATTCTTTTTGATGCCAGGGATTTCCAACAACTGTATCAATATGATTGCTTGAAACTTTGCAGGTGGCCATTGCAGCCAACCCCACTCACTACGGTGACCCCAAGACCGGCTGCGAGTCTGATGAGCAAGCGGTGCGTGTTCAGGGCTTGTCTGGGGACTTCTGCAGTCCCCAGTGCAGCAGTTCAGGCAGCTGCCCCAGTGACGTCCCCAAGGGTGACTCAGCCACTCCGGAGTGCGCCCTGCGCACCACCACCGGTGACAAGTACTGCGCTTTGATTTGCCAGTCTGACTCTGACTGCGGCGCCTTGTTTGCATCGAGAATTGGCTATTGCAGGATATACTTTCATATGCGGGCAAAGTGCGACAACAAGTATTTTTTATTGTTTTTTTGTAGATTTTTTTTGTGTGACTGAGGAACAGGGTCTTGCCAGAAGATTATGGGCGTCGGTCTTTGCACTTATGACGCGACAAAGAAGATTGGCATGGAAACGACAATGACTCAGGCGAGCAGTGTTCTAACAGGACTTGAATGGGGAAATTTATTGGTCAATTGCTCTTTGTTTCCCAGCCGTACTTTACAAAAGCAACTTCTCACGGAGCATATGTGGGACCAAATCTGAAAGTTTTGCTAGTGGTGTTTTCCTGACAAGACAGATCGGCATCCATGTTTTTGACTGTCATAGTGGCAGGTGGCAGTTGCAACCAACCCAAGCCACTATGGCAACCCCAAGACCGGCTGCGAGTCTGATGAGCAAGCGGTGCGTGTTCAGGGCTTGTCTGGAGACTTCTGCAGTCCCAAGTGCAGCAGTTCCGGCAGCTGCCCTAGTGACGTCCCCAAGGGTGACTCAGCCACTCCGGAGTGCGCCCTGCGCACCACCACCGGTGACAAGTACTGCGCTTTGATCTGCCAGTCTGACTCTGACTGCGGTGCCTTGGTGGTGCAGTTGGTAGTTGGGATACATGAAATGGGGAATGCATGGGACGGGGACGCGGAGGGGAGTGGACTGGACTGGGGACTGAGGCCTTGGCTCCTGTGAGAAGATTATGGGCGTGGGTCTCTGCCGCTCGGTTGGACACATTTGTGGCTCATTTGCGTTCCATTTTGGGTTTTTGCTGGCTAGGGGGCGTGCGGCTTTGAGTCAGAAGTTTCAAGCACTTGCTTGTTGGGCTCGGGGATTGGAAACGACACGTACTTCCTGAGATATGGCGTAGGGGGCCACTGTAATACAAGTTACAGTGGAGAGTTCCGTGCACAAACCTCCAAGAGCTCAGGGGCTAATTAGGTGGCCATCCATAAATTGCTGAAGATCCTTCAAGATTTACACATTTCGCACCTTTGCTGGGCGATTCCTGTCCTTTTACCTTTTGTCTGTCAAGTTGCTGCGATCTGGAACTGCTGTCTTCGTTTTACTGGTGACATGAGTTGGAGCCGAAACAGGCACCTATCCTGCCTCTGGCGCCGCACTGGCACCGGGACTGCAGCTTCTTCCTTCCGAGGTGAGGAGTAGGACAGTGCAGGGGAGGAGGGTGAGGACACTGCAGAAGCGAACAGATCAATCTTTATCTACAGAGGATTTGAGCTTGGGAGTTCTTTTGGATGGTTCATGTGACCATGGCACTTGGAATCGCGGAGATCAGGAACTACTGTACTCTTCCTCCATAAACCTTTCGTTGACCTGCAGGTTCAGGTGAATCAGAGAACGCCTCTTCGACTCTTCTTGGTTCCTTACCTTGTGCAAGGTCCACGCAACAGAAGGGTGGCAACACCCTCCAAGAAGGCCGTCTTTCCTCCGCAGGTGCAGATGATCATCTAAGGGCGTGGCGACAGGATTCGGCCAAGGCCTGGCCGTGGCCTGCGAGGCCTGCGAGGCCTGCGAGGCCTGCGAGGCCTGCGAGGCCTGCGAGGCCTGCTCGCCTGAACGAAACGGTGGATCCCAGAAATCCTGGAAGTGGAAAGCCGCCTGTTTGTAGGGGAAAAGTGAGGATGAGTGTATCATCCTTCTCAGGGAGTGTATGTGGATTCCAAAAGTCTGTCAAAGGCGGAGGTCCGTATGTAGGGTGCGGGCCCAAAGGTGCGATACGTGGAGGGGTTTAGGATCGAATCCAAGCGTAGCTCACATGAGTGGGAACGGCCGAAATTCGCCTTGGATCCATTCGTTCGCCGGATAGCATACGGGTTGCAGGCAGAGACAGTCGTCTCTTTAGGACATCGGCCTGAAATTCCAACCTGGAGAAAATCCGCCACCCTATGTGTCTCCATTCTCCCCGGAAAGTCACTTGCGAGGCGCTCCATGGTCGCTGAGTCAAGTCGTGCGCGACCCCGAGCGCCTCGTTGTCTGAGAGATGGGCACAGCTGCGGTGAGCAGATCTCAAAGGCAGTCGAGGGATTTTCAGATTGACATATGAAAGGAAAAGCGGCACATCCTAGGTTGATTTGGAAGCATCATGCAGGTTATTTGGCCAGACATGAGAAGACAGATTATGTATGGGTGATTTTTGGTGAGGACCCTGAAAGAAGATGACTGAAGTTGGTTTTGAGTCATTGTGAACCCAGAACCTAAGGTAAGCAGCGGCTACATCATGTCCATAAAGTTGTATCGCAAAATGAGAACCTCCCAAAGGACCTGTTGAGCTTTTCCACTCTTCCTCCTACCAGCGACACAGTTTGAGGCTCATTGGTTTGAAAGACACTCAAGCTTCATGACGTGGTTTTGAGGGTATACCGCAAGATGCAGGATCTAAAGGGCTCTTAAGTATTCCCCAAATAGAGATTGTGTTGATGCAGCCATTCTTTTGGAATTCAGCTTGCTTATTTCTCCTTCACCCTTGGGACCTTCTAGTCGTATTGATTTCTACACCAATTTCAACGAAATCCTCAATCTGTCCGGCTAGCATTTGAAGAGCTGCGCTCCAGCGCAAAGCCGCGATATTCTCATGGAATCTTGGTCACTGACCGGGATTTGGAAGCAAAGCCTGTTTGGGGCCGTCCACGGAGCAAGCCGTGTGGCGTGACAAAAAGGCGGCGAGCTCACGGCGTGACACGGCGTGACACGGCGGTTTGCTGCGACTGAAACCGAGCAAAGGGCGGCGACGAGGTGTTCCCCCTCACTTAGGTTTGCTCAGAATGGGGGGCTTCACCGGGCCTCCCCCAGCGAGTTGGGAAGAAGATATTCCAAGCCTCAGAGGTTCTTCGTTCAGCTCGTCGTCGTTGTGACCCACATGTCAGATTGGCAGGCTAAGGCTTGGGAGTTGGTACCGTCGAATTACTTGGCTTTAAGAAATCGGTCGATCTCAATATGGGGGCGCGAACAACTGGGCCACGGTCTACTTTCCTTTGTTGTGGTTTCGGCGACTTTCCGTTTTTCGATACAGCTCCTCCAGAAAAGGCTAGCGGAGCTATATACGTTGCCCTGTGTCTCCTGACCTTGCAGCTTCAACCAGTCCAGTCTTAGGTCCAAAGGTTTAACAGGTTTTTCTGGATTCAGTGCGGACAGAATGACAGAACCCCTAGAGCAGAAAAAAGGATCCACCCCTCGACCTGATGCTCTTCGCTTCAAGCAGCATTTGAGCTCGACTCGAAAATAGTAAAACAACAACCCGCGCAGGACGGGTTTGGGATGGGCTCTATAGCGGCCAAGGGAAGCTAGGTCCACAAAAAGCTGGGAATGGATGGATATGCAGTGGGACCTCTGGACAATCGTGGTGTTTCAGGGAAACTCTTTGCCATTCCCTTTGAACTCCATGAAGATGTGTCCCAGAACAAGAGCTGGCAGAAGTTTCATAGCATTTTTGTGAGGCCTCCCTTCAGCGTTGCAGATGTGGCTGAGTCACAGTCTTCAAACAGAAAAACTGATTCTTCCATATCCTGATAGTCAGGTCCTGGAAGCTGCTGGACCAGAGATTCCTTGCTCGATGGGTTTTCTTTGGGACTCCCTTACGTCGCCTGGGTCATTGGATTCATTATCTCGCTCAACCTTTGATCTACTTCTATCATTCTCCTCTACAGCCTTCCACGGTTCCAGACTTCTAGGGCCCCAGCATGGTTGCCCCCAACTCCCCTTTCCGCGGCTCATGTCCTTTGCTCGACCGACGCCGTCGTCGGTCCGGGAGGCGTCCCAAACCAAGTCGTCGACGATGGCCAGCAGTGATCAAGAGTGGACCAAGGCCTTTGGACTTCGGACGACCGAGATTTTGCGGAGACAAACAGGTTTGTGTGGGAGAAAGGCCTGGTCTTTTTCGTTCTTTTTTCAACCCTGAAATCAATGGATGCAAGGGAACACAGAGAGAGAGGAGAGAGAGAGACAAATGGGATCAATCAGGGGATTTCACCCAGATCAAAAGCACATCTATAATTACACAAAACGTTGGTGTTTCTCGTTGTTTCTCTATGTTCCAATGCTTTGCTAAATCTGCGATGCTTGCTAATGCGATTTTTGAGCTCTTGAGCTCGAATTTTAGACTCAGACCTTTGTTTTTCCAAGAACTTTCCCCAAGACATGGATGCACTCCCTTGCGGGTCCATGATGCTTCTACGCCATGTAAGATCTCTTCATAGTCTTGGGGTTGAAATCTCATCAGTCTGCACTATTTCTCATTTGAAACCATCTGGTTTCAAGCCGGTCTCGGTGATTTTTGAATCGTCCTGTCGTCGAGTGCGCGACCGAAGCCGTGGTGATCTTTCTCTTCGCCGGCCGCGCTTGCTTTGCGTCGCGAGTGAATGTGAAGAACAACGACCATTTGGGGGAACACTTTTCCAAACGTCGCGAGGTTTTGGAGATCGGAGATCGAGGGGGTTGATTCACCCCTGCGGGGAATCCCTCGGGTTGTTCGACCGACCGCGGCCTTTGGACCAGCAGGTCGAGGACATGCGCCAGTCCCGCATGGGTCCTTCAGGCCGGTCAACCAGAGTTCGGAAGTGGAGAGCCGCCCATGTCTTTGCATCCCAGATGTTCAACATGTTTTGAATCAACGTGCTTCACTTGGATTTGGGGGGTAGTGCAGTACAATGCTACACTCTGTTTTTCCAGTCTGCCAACGACCTCTCGGGGGATTTAGAAGGTCTTTCTTTTTACTGTGTGTAAGAAGATCATTCGCAGATGAGATGAATCCTATACTGTAAATTACATTGGCGTTCATAATGAGATCTCCTCAGCCCTTCAGGATTTTGACTAGTTGTTGTGAACACCTTTTTGGCGCGAATGCAACTTTCCTGCGCTTGGGAGTTTTGAAGCGTTTGATTCCTTGATTCCATGGAGGGTCGAAGGTTAAGCCGCGGAACCTCTACCCCTGAGCACGTTCTTGCTAATAATAGGTTGGAGGCCATCGCTCTTAGGTAGCATCCCCTCGGGTCCGAAGCGGTTCCCACCGACCATGTCTCACCGCCAGGCCTCCGCGGCTGTCGGGGGTTCCCAGCCGACCGGGGACGAACACCGTGGAAATTTGGACCAGATCCCCCGATGTCCGCGGAAGGAGTAGAGTGCCTTTGAACTGTTGGACATTATTTTTCAGGTGCATCCTTTCGGAGAATTGTTTCTCTTTTTCATTGGTACAATATATGATAAACATATATATAATATATGTGGTAGGGACCTTTGGGGTTCATTTCGCTCGTGATAGAATGTGTACCCTTGACGAACCTTCCCAGCTGCTCACATCCTGAAATCGAATAGGATTATGTATAAACTACCTGCTGTAATATTTGTGCTCCTTCATTGGTATAAAGATTGATCATATTAACATAGTTAACATTATCAATCATCAATTTGCAAATAGTGTGAAAAATTGATCATAAACATCTTGTTCCTATCCTTTTCCAGAAGATTAATATCTAAAAACATATGTGGCTGTTCAGTGGCTATTTCATAAAGTTTATATAAGACCTGCTTACTTTCTTGGATATTGTTTCTTTTCTTCTAGGTATTGCTGATAGTTCTTTTTGAAACAGTTCTATTTCTTTAAAGTTGCTGACCTTGTAGAAGAATAGGTGTGTGGCATTAACTCTTATCAGTGTAGTCAGTGCATTAAATTTGTGAACAGATGTTATAACACTAATACCATTGTGTCTACCTCTTACATAAAGGGAATCAAATATGTTTGAATATCTTGCTATTTTGGGATCATCTGCTATATCATCCAAGACTATTAGGATTGTTTTTTTTTATTTATGTTTTTTTTACTGTATTCAGTTATTCTATGTTGTGTTTCAATGACTTTCATTAAATCTTCACTGTGAAAGTCTTCAAACAAAACCTGCTCTTTACCAGTGTTCACTTTCATTTCTTCCTTTATGTATTTCTTGACTGGCAACCAGATGCTATCAACATTTATTGAAGGTGACCAGATATACACCCTTGAAAAACTTCCTTGTAGGTGTCCATATTCATGTTTGTTAGTAGCACTGATTTGCTACTACCAGACGGACCGGTTATGATTGATCTAAAGGGCACTTTAGAGGCAACAGCATATTTTGATTGAGTGAATTCATAATTGATTTCTTTGATAGGTTGAATATGTGGTGCGGTGTTATTATTCATCTATTAATAAAATTACATAGAACACATTATTAAATATTAGCAGATCTCCTATGGACAGAGTGCGGTAGGTGAGGCTACGCTAATCCGCATAAGTCGGTAATTAGTTTGCTTTTCAGCAATGGATTTTTTGCCCTTACAGTTGAATTCGTTTTTGGTGTTCTCCCAAGCACTACATAATTAGATGGTGTTAAAGCATTATATATCTAATTATAGTTATATATTATGACGCTATCTGAACATGATGCTTATATAACAGGAAGAGATGATATGGAAAAAAAATGATAGTGCTAAATATCCAGTTGTTAAAGATACTAAACTTAAGCAGTGTTGTAAATACTCACTGGAAATGTCAAAATTGATAATTACTTATCTAAAATGTAATATACATGCCACCAAAAAAGAAAAAAAAAACAAAGATGAATAAAACACAAATCCCCGAAGAGTTTGAACTATCAGATGAAGAACCAACAACAATAAAACTAGATGAAGAACAAAAACTAACAAGCAAATTCATTACCATTGACTGTCCTTTATGCCAGGGAAAACTACAACTGAGAATGAAATTGAAATCAACACTAAAGGCAAAAAGTGTAAGTGTAATCCATATAGCTTTAAAATCAGCAAGAGTGATAAGATAAGACTATGAAAGTTTCAAACGATGATGGTGGATCTATTACTTTAGATAATACTGATAAAATTGATGAGCTGATAAAGAAAATGAACAGATATAATAATAGTCTTAAATTGATCTTACAGTTGTTAAAAACCATTGATGAAAAGACTAATGAGAAAAAATGATTTAAGGAAAATGGAGAAGCATCTGAAAAGAAAAGCATAGGTAGACCAGTAGGGGACTTTGAAACTAAA